CAGAATCTTCCTTCTTCCCCTCAAGTGGTCTTCGCTCCGGTCTTCTTCTCCGAGTGGTGACTCCTCCCTCCGTTTCCTACAAGCCCCTACGTCTTCCAAGATCCGTGACCTTTATCAGAGTGCCCCAGTGTGCAACACTATGGCTACAGCGATGAAGAATCGGACCACGAGTCAGAGCGTGACTACGATGAACAAGACAATGGTGACTATTACTCCGACGATGAGGAAGAACGACATCTCGCTGCAGCGAACGATAACGATAGACGTGCGGCAGCCGACGGCATCCACGGCAGAAAAGACAATCGACCACCAAAACGTGACCGTCAGGAACGTGACAACGGTCGTGAGGGGCGTTTCGCTAGTCGCGAACGTCGATATGGTAATCGTCAGTACGGTCCATGTGCAGCTTGCGGTGGACTAAACCATTCAGCGCACTATTGCTTCCGACGCTGCAAACTGTGCAAGCAAGTGTACGATGCTGGCAAGTGCGAAGCATTCCAAGAGCTCGCTAACCTCGTCAAGGTCAAGGTCGACAAGACAGATCTGTCGCCCGAGCTACAGGGCCTCGTATTTGGACATTTAAACTAGGCAGCCCGCCAACTGAAACTGGGTTGGTTCCAATCGGGCTGCCACAGTTAGCCGAGCTTGCGGTCGAAGCGGAGTGTATCTACGCTTTCGTAGGCAAGTGCGAATGGCCAGATCACGATGGGAACTGTGATGGGAACAGAGTGAATTCGACGGACTTTGAAAAGAAGAGAGGCGCAAACCTCGGTGGAGGCGAACTTGGAGATAAAGAGAGTGGTTTGATTTCGAGTGTGATGCAGCGGAGTGGTGGTGAGCGAAGACTCGCCAAGACGGTGAGACTGTTGCCTGGTGAACGATTGGGGTGGTGGTCGTCAAAGAAGTTCGATAGACGAGTGAGGATGCGTGCTCTAGTTGAAGGAGCAGTAAATGATTCGCGAACGAAGATACTCCTGGACACTGGAGCGAATGTGAGTGTGATATCGACAAAGCTAGCGAGGCGAAGGGTCCGAGATGTACCGGATCACGGTCGATACATGGAAGTACAAGGATTTACACAAGGAAAGCAGGGAACGTCTCGCCGAGCTCTGGTGAAAATTACGCTTGGATGGGAACGTGTTTACGAATTTGAGCTGTGGGTGATGGACCATAGTGCAGGTGTTGAAGTAGTGCTGGGGACTGATTTTATGATCCCGGCTGGCGTTCGCCTGGAACTTTTTCACGCGGCAGCGCAACTTCCGGATGAGGTCAAGATTCCGTTGATCAAGACCAAGAACATGGAAGGTGACGAAGGGTATGGTACTCATGTGACTGGAGCACCTACTGAAGACTTATATATACCAGCACGAGAGTGGGCTGAGTTTCGTCTACAAAAGCGGCAGCCATCGCCGGAAACACACGTTCTCTGGATAAAACGAGACAAGGCATGGGTTCCCACAGTTACGAGGACTCGCCGAGGACGGCCTGACTATGTTCGAATAACCAATGTCACGGTCAAACATGTGTGGTACTCGTCTCACTGGCCTGTGGTGCAGTGGGTACCTTTCGGGGACCTGCCGCGGGAAGCAGGTTATGTAAGGCTCGATTCGAAGAAGTATACTGAGTGGCAAGTCATCGCTTACGCGGAATCACGAGAACCGGCCTTGCTGGAGAAGGGATGTAAGCTCTACGAGGACTGGTTGTCAAAACAGCCACCGGCAGTAGAAAAGCCGGATTATGTGGCACCAACTGAAGTACAGAAACGACCTATTGACGAATTTGCTCACCGGCGTGACAACTGCCTTACGTGTGCTGGGCTATGGGAACGAGTTCTCCGTGAAAACGGCGAACGAGGTGAGACTATGGTAGACGGCGAAAATGATGAAGAAATCCTAGATACCAGCGCTGACGATACTCCGGAGCCCGTACCAGCGGACTTTTCGCGCACGCTGTCTGCTCAAACTCCTCCTACGCGTGGCGCACGACCAGGTGTTAACGAAAGGTACACTGATGTGTCCACCACTAGCAGCTCAGACGGTACTGCGGAAGATGGTGACAAGAACAAGCCGTACCCTAGGGGTGACAGCGAAGTTCCGGTATCGGTATTGGAAAGAACTTATATTTCAGTCGCGCAAGTGCTGACTACGGAAGGCAGCGAGCCGACAGGGAATGGAGATGATGACGTCGTCGAGCACGAGCCAAACGTGGTTGAACTCGAAGACTATGCCCAAGAACTGGCATTTTTACCGGACTTCACCGAAATTTCGGTCACGGAGTTGGCCTACTCTGCACCGAATGTCCAGAACGTGGCGCTAGAGACGGTTCAGCAAAAGAGTCTGGTGGATGTGCTGAAGAATCACGAACGCATCATGATATCAAGTGGTAACGCGCTTCCTCAGCCTGCATACGGTGTTGTGTGTGACATTAACGTCAATGGTCATGCTCCGATAAAACAACGAGCCCGTCGAGTGCCGCTTCGACACTTGCGGAAGCTGTACGAGCTCATCAAAGGGCTATTGATGGCTGGGCTAATAGCATTTTCAGATAGCCCGTGGGCATCGCCAATTGTAACCGTGATGAAGAAGAATGGGCAAGATATCCGGTTATGCATCGACTACAAGATGGTGAACGCAATCACAGCGATCATGGAATATGCCATGCCGCTAGTTGATGATTTGCTGACTGATTTGGAGTCCTATCTCTGGTTCTGTTCTCTTGACGCAGCCAGCGGATTCTGGGCTATAATGATGACGCTCAGGGCGCGGAAAATTTCGGCGTTTGTCTGTGCACTGGGGCACTTTGAGTCGCTTCGAATGCCGTTCGGCCTTAAGAACGCACCGATGATTTACCAGCGCATGATTGACAACGCACTGTGGGGTTTTGTACATCCTAAGGGCGGCTGGAAGAACTACGCGAAGCTCATGCAAGAGGCGGAAGAACAGTCAAAACAGCTACGAAGCACCAGTGGCGAGGTCTCGCCAGACCTGGCTACCTCCAAGACGAAGTTTGATGCAGACCGTGAAGCGTCAGTGACACTGGATCCAGTAACTCAGCTTATTAACAGTCCTATTGCGGACATGTTTGTTAGTGGAGAACCCGACGAGTCTACGCTAGTGTCAGTGTTCGAACGCAGGTCTTTCGTTGACGATATTTGTTTCGGTGGCGAGACATTCGACAGTTGCCTGGCTACTTTGGACCGTCTGTTAAGTTGCTTTGCTGAGTGTCGAATCAGCGACAGTTTCAAGAAAAGCATCTTTGTACAGTCGCGTGTGGACTTTCTGTCACATGAAGTGTCCCCAGCCGGTATCCGAGCAGATCCCAAGAAGATGGGCGCGATTACTGAATTGCCGTTCCCAACTACGAAGAAAGGGATGCAGTCCTTCTTAGGTGCGCTGAACTATTACAGCAGGTTTATTCAAGATTTTGCGGTGTACGGAGCGACGTTATACCAGCTGAAGGACGAAGGTTTCGTTCCCAGTGGTGACCTCACGGTGGCTCGACGAAGCTTCGCTACGCTGAAGCAGAAGGTAGCGGATGCGCCAATCTTGCGACACTTCAACAGGGGCAAAGATGTGCACATCATGTTATTTGCCAACGAGTGGGCTCTAAGCACTACACTCATGCAAGAACACGAAGGCACGCTACATCCTGTCCGCTTCTGCGGTCGAGTTCTCGAAGAAGCGGAAATGAATTACCATCCTGCCGAAAAAGAGGTGCTCGCGCTGCTCTTATTGCTGAAAGTATGTTATACCCAGCTGGCAGGGCGAACCTTACACGTCTATACGCGGTTTTCGACGCTCGACTGGGTACATCGTTCAAAGTCACTGTTTGGTCGAGCTGTTCAGTTTTCAGTACTGCTATCGCCATGGCACTTGAAAGTGAAGCGGGTTAAGGAGAAGGATTGCGCATTTGCTCAACTCTTACAGTCTACGATTACAAACTTCGTTGACCTCGAGGACTCGTTGGCATCTATAGCGCCACCGACGAAAGGCTCGCCTACAGTGCGTATGGATCCGAACTTGCTCTATGCTTGACTACCCAAGGACTACCGAGGATTCGTCATGTCTTTCGACGGATCAGCTAAAACAGAGAAGTTCGGAGGCTACGGGAGCTGTTCGTGGATTATTTGGCGACTTCCTGAATGGCATATAGTGATCGCTGCGAGTGCTTATCTTGAGCTCACAACAGTGAACCTTGCCGAATATATGGGAATGAACAACGGTGTATTAGCTGCTTTAGAGCACGGTGTCGAAAACTTGGTAATAGTAGGTGACTCAAGCCTCGCAACAATCCAGCAATCCTAGGGGTGATCGCGTGCAGGAAGGAGTCGCTAATGGCTTTGCTGAATCACAACAAAGAACTTACAGCGAGGCTTCGGTCTACAAAGTATCTACATGTGATGAGAGAGTATAACGCTGCAGCCGACTCATTGGCGAGCGAAACGCTGGAGACGAAGTGTCAAAGGTGGTGCTCAGTTCGGACAGAAAGGCGGAGCTTTCTAGCCTAAACAGGATACCCGAAGTTATTTACGAATCTATTGACGCATGATCCAACGACATAAAGGCGAGATCCGATAATTTCGTTCAAATTCTGGATGCTGTGGAGTTGCCAAAACGCCGGACATTCGCGGATTTTGTTCGATCTAAGCGTGGCGAAGTCTCAGTGATGACAAGACGACAGAAGAAAGCACAGAAACGTGTTCGATTTGCTGATGTGACCCCTGCTGACAACCAGGGTAAAGCAAGTGAGCAGAGACAGACACCTGAATCGACAATGGATACAACGACGCAACAGCAACCCGAAATACCAAATGCCAATGATATAGATCCCGTTGCGGTACAGGAAGAACGGCGACTTCGCATCGCCAAGGCTCAAGACGAAAATGTGCGGTGGTCCAACCTAAAGGCAGTGCTTCGAGGAGAGACTGACAAGCTTGCCTACAAGGTAGTTCGGAATTTGATGAAGATCGCCGACAAATTCGTGCTGACAGCTGACGATTTGCTCTACTACGTCGGTGCAAGGCGTCGACGTGACAATGAGCGTGATCAGGATGTGCAACTACGGCTGGTTGTTCCGACGACGATGATCCAAGAAGTGCTACAGAACTGCCATGATTCTATCGAGGGCGGCCATCAGGGTGTGGTCCGGACGTATCAACGAGTGAGACTGGACTACTACTGGTATGGCTTGTACGCGGACGTCGAGAAGCATGTTAAGTCATGTTCCGACTGCAGCTCAAGTAAAAGCCGACCTCAGTTGCGAGGGTACTCTCCGGGCAACATTCTTGCCGAACGACCCTTCCAAATTGTATCCATGGATTTTGTTATACCCTTACCGAGGTCTCGCCGAGGCAATACGGCGCTTCTTTTGTTCCAGTCTTCGTTTACTGGCTTTGTCATAGCAAGGGTATTGGCTGACACGTCTGCATTCATGGTTGCACAAGCGTTCGAAGAGTGCATTAACCGAAGATTTGGTGCACCGTCCCTAATCCGACATGATCGCGACCCACGCTACATGAGCGAGGTGTTCCAGGCATTCGCCGATATGATGCAGTCCAGGTCGCGCACAACGCTAAGTTACAGACCACAGGCCAATGGCCAACAGGGAAGGTCAGCCAAGACAGTGATGCAGTCAGTGAAAGTGTATGTCGAAGATCCATTACAACAAGACTGGGACGAGATTGCAGAACGGCTGGTATTTGCGATTAACAACTCGTACGACGCGACGAGAAAAGAAACGCCATTCTACCTCGTCCACGGATGGGACGCACGGTCGACATCTTCGTTACGCCGAGGCTCCGGGAAGCAATCTGACGCGTTGGCGTGGCGACGAGGAGTAAATAGACAGCACGAAATTGCACTAGAGATGGCCAAAGAATACCAAGCGGCAGAAAAGGAGCGAAGAGCCAGAGAGCACAATGATGCGCTGAGCCGGAAAGAAAAGGCTGCGGTTCCTCAACGATTTGACGGTGAAACTGCCTGTCAGGATGGTATCGACAATGAGGGTTATGAGCAAGTGACTAAATCTCTGTTCGAACCTGGAAGTCGCGTCTGGCTGTATATGGAACGCGTTAATCCTGGGCTTACCAAGAAACTCGCGCACCGATGGCATGGTCCGTTTAGAATTAAGCGCAAGGTCGAAGAATATGCATACGAGTTGGAACTTCCTGATCGGAGTGGATATCGCTTCTATCCGGTAGTCCATGTTTCCCGTCTCAAGGCAGTATGTGAGTTTGAAGACCGACCGAGGACTCGGTTGACACACGATGTAACTGAGGAGTCGCGTCTTGACTTCGACGAGGAGCTCCTGCCGGAAGATTGCTGGGAGCCTGATCGACTTGCTGGGGAAAGTGGAGTGAAAGCCATTCTCGACGATCGGATGCCAATGTCAACAAGGACTGGCCGAGCTGTACGCGAATTCAAGATTCAATGGGATGACCAAGATGAGCCTACATGGGAACCTATCACCAATCTGTCCTGTGGTGGCATGTTGTACGATTACTTACGGCGAAAGCGCAGTGAACATCGCCTCCAGATGGTCCAAGTCGCTGATGAAGACGAGAACTAGTTCATCGTCGAATTGATGATGACCTGCCCTTGGGGCAATGCAGCCCAAGTTCGCAGACGGAAAATGCTACTGCAGCAACATTCATGTTACATTTGAATTGTGAATTATGAACAGGCTCTCGAGATGGAAACGAATTACGAGAAAGATATGAATATTCCAGGTTACGTCGGCTAAATCTCAGGTATAAACTGCTACGAGCCTGGAATTATACGAATGAACGAGACTTACGGCATCGCCGAAGCAGCAGCGGAGGCGAGTGCGTTAAGACCTTGCGACGACTGGATTTCGTCAATGGTCCTCTGCTACGGAAGACACTTCCGTGCTGTCGCTGTCTGAAGTCCATATTGATACCAATTGGTGTCATGATGGAGAAATATCCGTAGCTGCTAGTTCCTCATCCACAACGACTGCTCGGCCGACCTCCTCCTCGATCAGACCGCAGGGCACGAACAGCTCAGCGTTGGCGTTGCACGGCACGTAGGCAGTGTTGAATGGGTGCTCGCTGGGAACGTCGATCCAACAGTTGCGCCATGGCTCGCGCTCATCCAGTGCAGCGACCTCTGAACACCAATCAGCCGTTGTCGGGACCCATGGCAATACCTCGTACGAATACCACAGCATCGTGGGCTCAAGGATGAATTCCGTGGGAACGTCGTTGTCCCCACACCAGTCCCAGAGTTGCATTATCTTGTTACGAAGATTGTCGGCACGACGGTTGCGATCAGAAAGTAGGCTTTCATAACTCGAGTCACGTTTCTGACGATGCTTGAACTGTCACCGTGGGTTTCTGCAAGACGCTTGACAGCGGCCTCAATCTCCGATTGAACAACCCAGTGACCTCGCTCCCACAGAGCAAGCCCGACGTCGCTTTCCTTGCCGCCAGCGTCAAAACCATGTGTTTGACGCCATAATTTCACGGTACGTGCTCTCTTAGGGGCATGAAGGGAGATAAAGACGTCTGGCATGAACGGACCCACGTCAAACAAGTTGGCAGTGTCCGGAAACTTCTTGTCGAGGGTGAGCCATGGGTGTTCAGTCTTCCTCCAGTCAGCGAAAGCTCGTATCCACTCGACCGAACATGCAGCTACTAGTACTTTTAGAACTGGCAGTGGCGTGCGGAAGGAGTTTACAAGTTTCCAGCATCTCAGCGCACCCTTCTTCTGGAAGTTGGGCTTGAGGTAACGCTGCACCTTGGCCAGAATCTTCTTAGACGGCTGCACAAGAGGCTGCCAACCTTCGATGGGAGCAGGGAGCTTCACCACTGGCATCGCGGCCGACGGGTGCTGAGCATGAGCGGCAGCCAGTGCTTCCATGAGCACGACATGCGGCTTCACGCCACGCCGTGCAGTCCTTACCTTCAACGGGTTAACGGCTGGTCGTACAGAAGCCGGAGGCGGTGTTGAAAGCGAAGGATCCAGAGCTGACATGGGTATCGGACGATAAGCAGACCTGGTGCGTGACGAGACACCGGTACTTGACATGTCTTCAAGAGCTTGCAGTTGTAAAGCTGATGGCGAGTCGTTCTCTTTCGACTCTTCGTGTTCATCTTCGGAGGCTCCGCGAGGACTCGCTGGGGGTGTTTGGCCAGGAGCCCCGATGAAGACGGAGCTCTTGTCAGATTCCTGAGCGATGACTTGAGAAGTCACCCATCGTGATATCGCCGCTGTCGTACGTGTGGAGCGGGAACTCGGCGCCAACGGAGACCACTGCAACGTAGACGCCAGGTTGTTTATGTTCTGTGATGAATCTGGAGCCGAAGTGGGACCTGGAGATGCCGCAGACGAAATCTCAGGTGAAGACGGCGATAAATCCACGGTAGAAGCCAAGGATGACAAGCTACTCGAACGGCTAAGCGGAGGCTGAGACGTAGTCTTGGCCGTATGCGACGAACTCTGGACAGATGCCGGAGCCACTGTAGTCAGCAACGCTGGTAGTGGAGGCATGGGCAAGGCAGACGAAGCCGGAGCGACGATCGGGGAGAGTGATGCAAGCGTAGAAACAACAGCTGCAGTAAGTGGCTGTGACTGTGAGACTTGCGTGGACTTCTGAGACGATGAAGCTGGCATCGGAGTCAGAGGGGCCGATTCTGGCGGAGTTGATCCTGTGGCAACCGCTGACAGACCCGGTGCTGGGATAGAGGGCTGCGGAGTCGGCGTTCGTGTCTTGGAAGCTGACTTAGTCAAGTGCTGCATCGCAACCGCAGGTTGAGAAGGAGTCGTGGTCGTGAGAGAGGTCTTGGACGAAGTTTTCGAGCTGGATTTGGGCATCTTGGATTTTGACGACGACTTGAGTAGCGATTGCGGCTTGGGCCTCGCCTTCGACTTTGCTTTTGACTTGGATTTGGATGACGAAGAAGCGAGGCTGGCGGACTTAACGGCTGATGCCTTCTTACTAGGATCTGAGACGACCGAGCCTTCTTGTGTTTTCCACCTGAGCGAGGGTCCGCTTTATCATCAAGTGACCTTTTGTGAGAACGGGAAGAGCGAGTCTTCTTTGCCAAAACAGATTGCAGTTCCATGCCAAACCGCTCGTCCTCATCCTCGCTCAACGACTCGCTGGAAATGCTGATCTGGTCATCGTCAGACAAATCAACACTACGAAACCGGTGTACCTGGCGAGCGAGCTCAATAGCCTGATCCTTGGCCGACAAGGATGGATTGAGGTTCTTGATCGCGTCCTGAACGAGCTCAATAGCCTCTTCATCCAGCCCTAACAGACAAATGTCCAGCTCACCGAGTGTACCGCCCGTCAAAGAATGAGCGAGTGAGTCTTCAGCGTTACGTTATGCATTCTCGCGAGTCAGCCTCACCTTCAGCGAACAGCAACAAAGCATCTGGGTCCCGGTCACGGTCGTCAACGAACTTGCGGAGATATTTGTTGACGAGGAGAACCTTTTTCAATTCGTCCTTCAGGAGTTTCCTTTTAGCCTTCTGGGCGAGATTCTCCACGCTCTGTCCGCGTCCAGCGAGGTACCTGGGCAAGATAAGTGGCCCAGTTACTCTGTCTCAAAACTGTGTGGGGTATTCGTTGACGCCGACTTTCATGGCGTCTGAAAACCTAGTGGCCCACAATTCTTGCCTGAACGTTGCTCGTTATGAATGGGCTGATGAAAGAGAAGCCACCAATGTTTGTCGAAATGACGTGGATGTAGCTTCGATCATTCATCAGAATCGATCAAATCCGTTAGGCCGTGTAAGCAGGACCTACGTTGTTTGAAAATGTTTGTTGCAAGGCTACATTCTAATCCGTTGATTAGAATCTGGAAGGACCGTTTCCACGAAAGATATGTCTGCTCAAGTCGTGTACTCTGATGAACCAAGCCACGTCTTCTCTTTGCTTTTCACGAAAGCAAGTGGACATTAAAAGTAGCTTCCTTGACCACTTTCCATCCTTCAGGGACAGCACATCAAAAACACAAAGCACATGTGAATTGCACAACAGTATGCGAGTCGCACAAGCAAACGATGATTTGCAACATCGTCTCTGTGAAGCATGGACACCCAATCAATAGTAACACACAGGAACCAAGTATAAACACACAGAGAGCTGGTAAATGCACGATAGCCAATCATAAGCAAGTTGTATTCAATTTTGTCCAATCAAATCGGTCGATACCACACAATTCTGCCTATCGTACTGTTCAAATTACGTCTCACTCACCAACCACACCATTTTCACCCCCCCCCCTTTCACCCCCCCCTTTCCTCCCCAAGTACGAGCCCCCTTTCAATCTATCTGTGACGAACCCAGTGTACCCAAGTTACATGGAGATTGACCTGTCACTCTTGTAATACCTGGTACATGGTACCAGAGGATCTAGGAGCCAATCATTGCATATCTACATAGCTTTACTATAGGTAACTTATAGTTTGTATTAGAAACTGAGCTAAGCTTACTTATAATTACAACCAGTATTAAACGTAACCTTTATTGAGTACTTCGTCCCTTCAGACCAGGGACACGTGAACTGTCGTTCACTTAGAGTTTGTATACTCTTGGAAGCCTAGTTCCTCAGCGCAAGGTGCCGTGTGACCCCGTCAGACTATCTACCTCCTCCCCAATATGCCTAATGCTATTGCCTGGCGCACCGTATGCACCGAGCTTAAGGACACCGACGTCCTTATTATCATCGAGTGCCTAAAGGCCTTCAAGATTGGCAAAAGTCAAGCTATCTTTTGCACACTATGTGCTGTTCCAACTCCGCATTTAATCTGCTACAAGATTCTGAATTGCCGCTGCACTCTGTGCAAACAAACTGCTCCCTATGCCAAGTGTCCATGAAGGGCACAAAAGGTTGTCTATCTCGATCGCCAGGTCGCCTCACTGTTTGAATTGGGTGAGCATGTGGCTAGAGCGATACCACCGCACAGCCACAACCTCACGCCAGCCCAGAAGGACTTCACCAAACAGATAGGTATGGAGGCAGCACGTATTCACACGGCGATGCTGTTGCACTTCGGCTTGCGACCTAGCCAGCTTCCGGCTCTCCAAAAGGTGCAGAATGTCGTGTGTTACTACCGCCGCACCAAGCTAGGGGGTAATGATACAACAGCCGCCATCGTGGAAGCAGTCCAGAGACTAGCGTTCAATGGAGGTGAGGAGGAGCACGATCCATTTACATTTGGCTGGGATGTAGATAGAGAAGGCAAACTCGTTGTCGGCAATGGATCCGACGAAAAATCGTTTCTTGTTGGGTTTTCAACGAAGGCGCTGCTTCACCAAGCTTCCCGAGATCCAAGTACGGTTATTTTTCATGTGGACGCTACTTACAAGACCAACCAGGTTAGTTATCCCGTATTTGTCGTCGGTATTACCGATATCGCAAGAAAATTTCCTTTGTTGGCATTGCTTGTCACCTCCCAGCAGCAGGAATGTCACTACGCTAAGGCATTTGCTGCAATACGCTGGATCTACAGCAAAGTGCTGGGCGAGCAGTTTCGTGTTGCCTACGAAATGGGGACGCTGATGCTGCCCCGTACAATACTATTGCTATAAAATTCGGAAGTGATTGCAAGTATGATCATCTCATATGCTATTATCACCTGCTACCGGTATGCGGTGTAGTCACGCTTGAAAGCCCGGTTAAATTGCTCTACCGGGTTGGTGGTGGTGGCAAACTCGGTAGGCGTGTGGTAACATTGCCACCGGCAAAATCAATCATTCAACCAGACACGTTTGAAATACCCGTGGAACGATTGTAGCAGTGGGTCCGCGAGCCATCTTTGCTTTGTAGCTGTGCAGGCAAGGGTAAAGCTGTCAGCGCTCTTGCTGTAGCGCAGATCATAGATATTACGGATGACCGAATCGAGTGAAAATGGGCGGGCTGCCACCAGCGCTCCATTGATATCCATCCATTTGTTCTCTCTCCAATCCCGTCTAAAGCGTTGCTTGCACGATTGAAGGCGCTTCGGTGCCAGCAGCTACTACGAGAGTACGTAGCGCCACGCATGAGCGTCGACTTTCTCATGACGGATTCAGGCACCGACGTGCTCCACGGGTTGTAGACTGCGCCGAAGAGAACTTACAACCCCACCTCAAATTTCATGCAAGAGGCTCTTCAAGTCTCTTGCAAGTATGTGCCAACACTGCACGTAAAGAGGCGGAAAATATGCCCAAAACAGGGTGGCCGTTTGATCTTGTCGCTCAGACTTGCCCTTGCTCCTACCACTTCAAGTATGGAAACTGCGTGCATCGCCTGTTCGCGATGCAGGAACGAGCTCGAGTTGACGGTAACGGTGAAGAGGTGCTCGTCAACCGGCGTGCGCAAATACGCAAACGTACTGGAGTTGGCGCTGCTCCTAACCTGCCTGTCACGATAGGACGTCCTCTACTAGCTGGGCACACTGTTCACGGGAATAAAGACAGCGGCGGAGTGTTTGAAATAGCTACTCAATGCATAAATCTTGAACCAAAGACAATTGATAATGTTAGAGATGAAATCAGCACGATCGTAGCGAAAAATAACTTACACGCTTTGCGATAGGGAGGAGTCTTGCGGTAGCGCTGCCCAGTGACTGACATCTCTCCTGTTGGAAACGCTGTTGGTGGACTGATCTCATTAGCTACCCTTTTGTGCAACACCAAACCTTTGGCGAGAGACATCCATATGCAGCATGCCGGCAGCCCTTGCGGGTACAAAATGTCATTAAGAGGAAGGCTTGTCTTGCTGCGGTTGGTAGGTCCCCCAGCTATGGCCGACATCGAGATAATTCAGGTGATCCGGACCGCTAGAGAGCCATGGGGCCTTCGGGGGGGGGGGGGGGGAAGCACCCCCGCTACGTGCTGCATGTGGTGGCGTCTGAGAGAGTGGACTGCGACAAGTAATTGTGTACCACAAAACGATGTGTTCCACCTCGCCGACTGTCGATCAACGACAGGGTCGCTGGTTGGACTCCTGTTTTTGTGCATGTGATATTCACACATCCATGATCATTTTCACGGATCCGTTTGTGATTTTCATATTTTCTCTCCTCCAGGGAAGCCGACGTTTGAAAACGTTAAGAAGGTCACTCTTAGAGTTGTCCAGCCATCGTTTTATCGTGGTGTGACCAGCTTCCACGGTAGTGGCGTTGTGGTACAGACGAGGACACTTTAATATGACACTTTAGGTTTTTCGTTAACTATTCTTTCAAATCCTAATATTTTTATCCAATCAACTGTAAAGATGTATTACAGTCCAGCTTTCTCCCAAGCCCGCTTGATGCAGCGCTCGTTGATGGCCGCCCACGCTGTCACTACCCTGTCTACAAGCAGCTTTCTCTTCTCATCTGCAGACATGCGCTTGAGGGCCAGCAGCCTCTCCCGCAGAGGCAGAAACCCATTCCTCTGGATGGAGGCTAAGTTGTAGGATAGCGTCAGCGAGCGTAGCTCCTTCTTGAACGGGCCCATGATGCCCACGTCCAGAGGTTGTAGTACAGCAGTAGTGTTTTCTGGTAGAGGCACAAGCTCTGTCCCCCACGACGCGAATGCTTCCTGCGCAATATCGGACACATGGCACTTCAGATTGTCGACGTAGATGGCTAGAGGGTCTGGGAATTCGTCACAAACAAATTCTGCCCACTGACCGTTGATAAACGTTTCGTTCCAAACCCTTGTATCCATCCAGCCATTTTGTTGGACGGTTACAAGGACTTGGTTCGAGTATGCCCTCATATCACGCTCAATTGTGCCGCCTGACTGGCCGCGGAAAATGACTAGCGGCTTTAGCTTTTTTCCTGCCGCGGAAACGGTGAGCAGCACACTCGCTCGATCCGAACGGCGGCGTCCTTTGACTCGAGCGGACTTGCTTTGGCCGCGCTCGGCAAGGATGATGCCGGGGTCTTCCTCGTAGTAGACCGCGGTTTCGACAGCATTGAAGACGCACTCTCGCTGATACGCCTTCTTGATTTCGGCGCCAACCTCTGCCGAAAAGCGCTGCTGCTCTGCGAGCAGCTCTTGGGTCGATATGATAGTTTTGGTGGCCCGACGAAACGAAAAGCCGCGACTCAGTGCTACGCGACGGATTGCACGTCGTAGACTGTCCTCTTGACGCGTCAGCAAATAGTCTGAAGCCCATGAGCTGTATTCTTCCTTGACAAAAGGAACACCGTGGTTAGTTTTTAGTGCAAAACATCACGACGCATGGCTTTAATCCACTGTATGAGCTCATCTGCGTATGGGAAAACGCAGTGACGGCCTTGGCCCCCTAACGTGGTCTTGGAGCTCTTTTTGTTAGCACACGCTTGTCTAAGTCTATCCTCGTTCTTTATCCACTCGTACACAGCTGTGCGAGTGTGCACGTCATTGGAAGCAGCTACAGCAGCGACTTTGCCGCCTGCTCTAACTTCCTCAACGACTCGAAGCTTTAGTTCGTTTGAATACGTGCTACGACGACCTTTTGATGGTAGATTCAGCTGATAGATCACCTCACCGCCACCGCTACTGTCGCTTTCAGCAGCGTCATCCTCGTCGTCGGCAGCTCCGGCACCATCGCGGATGCCCCACTGGAGCATTCGCAGCTCGAGCTCTTCCATGGCACGATTCGAAGTGAGCTCATGGCCACAAAATTGTTTTTGACATTCTATTGGCTGAAATTATTGACAAAAAAACCGTGTCATTCATTAGTGTCCGTCATATTAAAGTGTCCTCGTCTGTACCCAATCATTGTACTACTCATTTGACGTAGCATGGCTTTTCATGATTCAAACTTAGGTTCGGATTCGCAACCACAGCCTGTTCAAACTTCGTCAGGTATACTTTGTTGCCAATGTTGCTTTACCGCTGCCAATCTGTTTTTTTTATATCAGCTGCGTTAACGATTTTCCCAATATTCCAGCGACATAGCCGTTGCCTCGGGAAACAGAGTATCCGCCGCGTTGGCGCAAGTGAGATCTCGATTAGGCACAATTAAGCGAGAGATCAGAATTGAATTCTGCTTTATGAAGTCTTTCCATCTTTGACAGCGCCCAATTGTAGTCTGGGGTAACTTTCCCTGGTAACCATCGGGACCACCATGTTTCACCCGTCCGTATGATTGTATTCAACAGGGGTAAGTGGTATCAGCTCGCGATGTACCGTAAATCCGGGGAATCGTGTAACATCGTAAAAAAGCTAGGTTAAAATAATCGTAACAGCTTATTGGCCTTGAACATTGGGAGGGGGGATATTGTCTGTTTGCCAGCGAGGGTAAGTCATTGATCATTTCTAAATGACAGAAACTTCACTACGAAGAATGCTGACAAGCTATATGCTCTAGAGTGCATTGATGCTGGGGAGTCAATCGGCGCTGTAGCGAGCTCCTATCAGGTTACACTGGTGACAATATGACGCTGGAGGCGGTAGGAGACGTCTTTAGAAGATGCAAAACCGTAGTATGCGTTTTATAGGCACTAAAATCCAGCGTTTAGTAAGCCTAAAATACCACGAGAAAAGGTAATTATCCTCCTTTCCGTTCGGCTTGTACAATTGCTCCTGGGGTTCCAGATTACACGGTCATGGGTTGTAGCTTACAACGTGCCGCGAAGGCGCAAAAGAATATCGAAACCCGACAAGAGCCGGGGTCGTACCTAAAATTTACAAAATAACAAATATCATTAGTCATATGACAAAATAATAATATTATACAATATTGAACGACTTCAACCGTTCATCCTTCCACAAACTCGATCGTGCTAGGCGGATTCATATTGACGCACACTGAGTTTTGATCCATGTTGACTACGAAGTCGCATCTGTCGGGCATTCGACGAGGAAAGAAAGAGCTGCTTTCGATATGATGGAGCATCAACCTCGAAAAGCGACCAGGAATAATCTATTGTCTAGTTTGATAGCAGTAACAGAATGATTCTAGAGGAAACATATTTACCTGCATATCAGAACGTGGAAATCATTCACAACGCGTGTTTCGTTTATATGTGAGACGGTTTCGCCGTAGGAACCGAAATATGACATTGTCACTGCTCTCTCACTTCTAGAAGCTATATACGGCGGAGCAAAGTATGCGAGGGCGTAGTGGATGCTTCCGGCAGTAATGCAAAAGGTTGTGGCGCCGCGCATGTGCCTAACCCAGCTCAGTAGCTTGGCATCATCACGAAATGAACTGCCAGCACAATGACACAAAAAAGGGCTACAACAGGAACAGAGGTTACTACGCGGTTAAGTCGAAGGTCTATTGCGACAAGAAAGTTATGGAGGAGTGAACAGACAAGATTTGAACACCCGACACACAAGTACCAAGCATTTTATCCTTAGACAGCCTTAAAAACATAAATTGGAGTGCATCCGGACTTGGCGGGTTGCCCACGCACACACAACCGTGATCTACGTGCCTCCTGGGGTAACGGGGGGGGGGGGGGGTCTCTGCCAATGAACGATGCCGATATGAAGCCTTTTAAGGATAGACACAAGATCATATATACGAAGTTTGTGATTGAGAATGATGCATTTATCGCCCGCAGCCCGCATAAGGTATTGAGCCTTTCAAGGCTTTTGACGAATCAGACTTAAAAAAAGTGCCTTTTAATGAGAGCGGTTAGGTTCCGAGCGTTGTATTATATCTTCAAGACTGCAAATTGACCTAAATATTAACAATACAGTCACGATCTGGCCAATCACAGAGAGAATAGAACAACCCCGACGACAGGCTTTGATCGCCCTGAAAAACTACGAGCGATTGTCCGAATGGCTGGAAATTGTTGGGCATTCGGAGATTTTCCACGACGTCGGAGTTTAAGATGACCTACTCACTAGATATTCGATGGAGAGGTATAGATTTCATGTACGTTTACTCGATCGATACCACTACGGTTGCAAGTATTCTAGGTCTCTCTGATCGTAGCCTCGATCGATAGTATAAACTTTTCCGAACGACAGAAAATGTTCTTAAAGCAAACACCAAGGCGAAATCGTTTAGGTGGCCTCGTGATGTGCGTGCGTTCGAACAAACGTACGTGAAGGCGCATCCGTGCTTCTACTTTGAAGAGCTACGCTACGAATTACGCAAGCGCTACCGGGACACAATTGGCGTATCCGACGCGACAATCTACAGAGCCCTTCGATTCGACCTCAAGTTGACAAGAAAATTTCTAACTAAGCGTGCGAGAGAGAGTGTTCCACGCGAAAGGCGAGAGTATGTTAGCCGTCTTACTCCTTTCTACAGCGGCCCTGATCAACTCGTCTTCGTCGACGAAACATCAAAGGACGGAAGGTAAGTTTGCAAGCTGCAACTGTTAAGTTGTTTTATTCTTCAGAGTTATTTTACAGTTATTTTTATCTGCTTTAGATCGGTTCTACGCCGTTATGATTGGTCTGCTAGAACTACACCGGCACATGTAACGCTTCCATTCAGCCGCGGCACACGCGTATCGATTCTGGCTGCAATGGACGTGCAAGGGTTTTTTTTTTCGTGGGGTGATGTGGAAGAAACCTTTACGCGTTAAAGCTTTCACGAAGTTTTCAAAACCAAGATACTTCCCTTCCTCAATCGGTGGCCACTACCACAGTTCATTGTAGTGATGGACAATGCAAAAATTCATATGTACAAGGAACTTCAGGAAATGATCCACGAGACCGGTGCTCTTTTTCCTGCCTCCCTAGTCACCCGACCTCAACCTAATTGAAGTTGGATTCAACGCCACGCAAACATGGCGTTTCGGGAGGACCCATTACCCATACTACGAGTTGCAATGTACGCCTGTACTCGTCAAAAGGAAGAAGTCGGTGAGAATCTGTGCAGCCACTGTGGTTATAGACGTAATGCATTAAATATAAAAGAAAAGTAGCTGTCATTGTTTTTACGTTGTTAGCGTTGCCGTTAGCTATCCAAATGATCAATGTTTTTCATGTTGCCAGCAGGAGCAGGTGTGAAAACCGCTGGGGGCTCTCAAAATGGTGGGCGCAAACTGTAGTCAGGGAGCCCTAGTGCAGATCGGATATCGCTGATTTTCACTACCATTGCGACTGGGACGCCTTGTATCTTGACGCGCACAAGATGGCACTCTGCAGTCGCTACCTGTTGGCCTTCTTGCATGGCAGAGTCAATTGCTGCCTGTCGTGTGTCCACGTGCTGGACCCGCTGAAACGTCGTGTTGTTAGGCACTACCGGTCCGTCTGGAAGCCTTGCCTGCGTGACCGCCATGTAGTTCGGGGTAGCTGGACCTGCGGTTATCCCTTGCTTCCGCAACATTTCAGCAACGCGGGACATTTGTTCTCGAATACGCGCAGCTGTGTCCCTACGAAGTGTTGTTGTAGCCTCAACTGGTTTTGGCACGTATACATACAGCTTTAAGACGAAGCCCGCTTGTCCATCGTTACGCAGTCTTGCCTTGTGCCACGCCGTGTCGAGCTGGACTTGCAAAGCACTACTGTCAAAATCCTTCTGATACGCGTTGTTGGTCGGCTTGAAGTAATCAGCGCACCACTGGCCAGGGATCTTGTTGTCGAAATGCTCTTCGACTTTTGCGCGAAGAACCCGATAGCCCTTCTGCTACGTTAAAGCCAAATGTTGGAAAAGGAGGCAGTTTGTTACGACAAGATGCGTAAGGGTTGCCAATCTTAATGAACAAACGACAAGTTAGAGTATTCGACAAGGGTATTGTAATCTCCATCGAAAATTCAAATATTAACTTACCTTTCGCTAGCTGCACTCTTCTTTGATTTCGGGACGCAATGCAGCTGCGTCCACCTATGCCACGGGTACTACTTGATCACCTGATTCGTACAACAGGCATTGTCATCCGCCATTACCGCACTGTATATCCCTGTATCTAGCTGCCACCAAGGAGTTTTCCTGTGAGAGGAATTGAACCTCTACCATCCGTTAACGGGGCTCTTCCGTTGAGCTACACAGGCATTTGAGGGAGGTGGCAGCCTGTAACGGGGTTAAACGCAAGTGGTTACATGTAGCCATTTGATTACGACAATGGGTTTCACGTTGGTATGAGATACACCAATGGTTACATTT